GCTATTTTTAAGTAAATAAAACTAGGAATAGCAGTCTATATTTTTTCAAGTACACAATTTTTAACCGTTTAGTAAAGGCAATATTTTGAAAATTTAGAGTTTGGGTCTAGGGGCAAAATTGGTAGTACAATACTAACTTAGAATAATTCTCAAGATTAAAACCTGCGTGGAAATCTTTTTCTAACCTCCCCTAAATTGTGTTATTATTCTTTTAAAACCACCCTAAATAGGAATTATCCCTATTTGTTTTTAGGAAAACTGATTATATATGTAAATCATTTTCTTATTCTATGGAAATTAATCACCTTTTATTTTACATTTATCTTCTTGTTAAGCTATTATTATTTGTTATTTCTGCGACTTAGCTACCAGCATATTTGCAACAACAGCTATATAATTAACACGTCACGTGAACTTAATAATAATCAAGTAAGACACATACCTTCTCCACGGTGAAAAGCGGCAGTTGAACCGGAAATGTACCAAGGCTCTCCACATTTGTTTCTTTAATTCCTCGTAAATGATACCCTCTAAAATTTTTTAACATTGGCCACTCTGTCACATGTTTCCCTGGGTAGAAACATTTGAGTCTTGGTAGATCCCACAGGTTAAGAGTTGATAAACTAGAAAACACAAAAGTGGGAACTACTTCATCCCCCTCTCCAAATGCTACAACTTCCTCTACCCCGCAATCGTCTAACTCCAACATTTCAAGTTGCTGAAGTTCCATAGCCACTGAAGTTTGGAACAAATTTTGGAGGTTCGGACAATTATGAGCTTTCACAGACTGCAATTTTTGAAAAGTAAGAATACCACGAGGATCCCTGGTACACACTTGCTTCAGTCTTGGTAGCTGACAAAGATGCACATGTCTGAACTGGGTATGTGTTACAGCATCGACCTTCACTTCTCCAATTTCGAATATCTGTTCTACACCACAACAACGATATACATGCAACCATTCAAGTGATGCGCATAATCTCTTCGGTACATCGGATGAGAAAATAGTTGATAATTTGTCACAACTCCCGATATACAATGATTTTAGTTTGCAGAAAGAATTTGCAGGAAGGTGGTGGTGCCATATGATCCTCAATTCCAATCCTTGGAGGCATAAATTTTCCAAGCTGGGAAACGAAACCTGCATTTATTTTTAATTAATCAAAAATAGAT